GAAGAAGAAGAAGAAGAAGAAGAAGAAGAAGAAGAAGAAGAAGAAGAAGAAGAAGAAGAAGAAAAAGAAGAAGAAGAAGAAGAAGAAGAAATATTAATATTATATTTGCATTGTCATTTCCAGACAGATGTCATCTTTTTTCTTAGTTTTGATGTTTGCGATTGCAATTTCCGGTTTTAACCTTTCCGGTTGTTTTCTTATTTACCTCAATCCTGGCTCCAAAATGTTCAAAACTGCGCACTCTTTCAATTTATCCATCGTCACTTTTCATTACCACCTCTTCTTTGCAGGTGTCTGTGTCCGTGTATTTATTTTTTTTTTAGAAACATTTAGGTATAATCTCTTTTGGTCACTGTGTTCTTTGACAGATTTTATTAGAACCTTTAATCCTATGGTGGGTAGCGAAGAATGCAATGTATTTTGTGTGTGTATATATATATAGCCTATGTGGTGGTGGTATTAAGACAGAATGTCTTATATGTATGTATATGAATGTATATTCATTCCTTCTTGCGTCACATTCTACCCCCCTCATAAACCCCTCTGCGTGTACGCCGAAGAGGTGTGGAGGAAGTATAAATCCTTCTTTCAAGCTTTTTTGTCACAGGAAACCGTTCTGTTGTTTTTCGTTCATGCTGTACTGCATATTGTTGTCCTTCATATAGAGATTTGAACAGTATGATCGGTTTTGGGACGAAAGCTCAGTCTAATGTAAAATTTGTCGTATCATTTAGTTTAATAGTTTCTACACTCGAATGCTTTTAAATAGTCAACGTGTCTGTAAACTGGCATTTAGGCCCTGATATAATTCATTTTAAATTCTTTTCAAAATGATTTTTAAAAATAAATTATTGGCCTACTAATTTAGTCAATTCAGTGTATTCAACCTAAGTTTATGTTTGTTTAATACATAAATTTTTAATCTGTTTGTTGTTATTGTCACTAATGGTATTGTTGTGTTTTATTAATTGTTGTTGTTGTTGCTGTTGTTATTATTGTTGTTGATATTATTGTTGTTGATGTTGCTGTTGGTGTTGTTGTTGCTGTTGTTGTTGTTGTTGTTGTTGCCCCTGCTGTTGTTTTTGTTTATGTTATTTTAGTTTCGTGGGTGGTTAGCGGGTGCTCTGGTGTGGTTTGCTCCTTCTTTCCTATCAAACATCTATCGTCCTTATCTCTCCTTCTTCTTTTTTATGTTTGTTACTCTCTTGTAACACCTCTAATCCTCCGGCGCTCATATGACCTTATGCAGTTGCGAGCGCCGTAAAATGTCTACTAAAACAACAAAATATTCTAGTTTCATTTGTGACCTTCTATGGAGCTACAGGGGAGGGCTGGGAAATGATAATTATTTTTTACTGCGTTTTTTCCTACATGCTATTATTTTCCTCCCAAAAGGGGGTAGGGGTAGACGGGAGAAAGAGAAAGAGCAAGTGTGCTTGTGAGTGTGTGTTT